TAAAAGTCAAACTAATGAGGATTAACATTTTAATTTTCACAATCTTAAGAAAGCCTTCAAATGGGGATTTTATTAGAGAAAAGGAAAAGTAAACGAGAAAGGAATTAGAAAGAACAATTTCCTAGTCCTAGGACCCATGATGTACTTCCTAGAATATCCCAGTTGACATCTTAGACACTAAATATGTCAGCCAGGTATATACGTTATATATGAATCGTGATCCTCAAGCTTTTAGCGTGTTATTTTGTTTGACAGTTGACATCTTAGACACTAAATATGTCAACCATGTATATACATTAGATATGAATCGTGATCCTCAAGCTTTTAGCGTGTTATTTTGTTTGCCGTGATTATTGAGCTGCCTAAATGTGGAGAAATTCCTCAGAAGAATTTAAACTTGGATTTCATTGATATCGTGGCAAAATCTTGTAGGAGTAGACATGTTGTTCATTTAGTTAAAGGTTTGACATTTAATTAATTCATTTTCAAGAATTAACTCCGAGGAGTAATATGTGAACGTCTTATTGCTTACCTAGTACCGACGTCTGCAAAACAAATGCAAAATGTCAGCCCAACTCCACTACCATTTTTCCTAGCTTCTTCCTCAGACAGTCACTTTGTGTTGACATGTGAGCGTGTTGTTTACTTCTACTTTTGCCCATTTATCTTTAATCGGCACAATGTTTGCAATAGTCGGCTTAACATTACCTAATTCAAGCATAGAGATTGTGGAAAATAATTTCAAGGAAACTTCACCCATACAAGTTTTCCAAAAAGAAAAGGATTTAAATAAATTAAAGAGTTAACATCTATCTAGAGGATATGTAAGCTGATAAATTATATATAGTTGATTGATGTGAACAATCTGAAAGCTTTGTACTCAAGAAAAAAGTCTAATGTTGTCTTCTCATATGTTGTTTCTTGGCCACTTCCCTGAACCGTATCCAGCATTTCCACCATCGCCCATGTATAAATCTTTATATCTCTCATCATCTCTCTCCTCACATTTCTCCAATAAAACTCTATATTCTCAACCTCTGCAACTATAATCAACATTCATTGAAAGTATCTCACATCACAAAACAATGTCTCTTCTCTTCAAAACTAGTTTTAATACCTTTAAAGTAATTATTCTTTTGTTTTATATTTTGAATAATACCGATTCTCTTCTTGCTGCTCGGACTATCCATGACAATAATAATTTTAAGAACACGTATCGTTCAAATGCGGTTTCGTTTCCACAAGATAAGGCTCCAGTACCACCGATTGGTCGTTATCCTTGCACTTACATCCCTGTAGGCGCTCCGGGTCACTGCAACAGACCATAGTGAATTTCAGCTTCCGTATGATTTCTAGCTACGTCCTACCAGTTTAGTTACATGTACAAATACTAGTACTATTTTATGGAGTATTGTAAGTTGTAGCTATTTTCTCTTGGATTTACTAATTTTTTTTTTTTTTAATTCCGTTTTAACATTTCTAACATGAGGCATATCTATTGAAAAACAATTTATTTATTTTTAAAATTTTGTTTTTTAATGAATTCCTCATGTTAGATATCTTAGACGGAATTTTTAAAAAAAATCAAGACATCTGAGAATTTGTTTATTTTAATTTTATAAATAACGTTGCTATTTGCTTTCATTTTCTTGCTAGTTAATTCTAAGTTCAATTACTGTAAGTACTATTCTGTAATATATGTTGTAAATGAATGAAAGATCACTTAGCCGGTGGTTAATTGTGATTCTTTTACCCTGTTAATTTATACCTTCAGATTTAAACATAATTAAGATTATCTATATATGGACGATACACATTTTAGCAGGAGGAAATTAATAAGTTGATGCAACTGTGTGTATGCATGCATATTATAATAAAAGCTAGGAATTTGCATTCTAGACAGAAAGAACGAGCTTGTTAATTTCATTAGATGACGTCTCCCCTTGGTTTCAAAATAGTATACATTTAATGCCTGAATTGCAGATAAGCAGTGGATCCAGCACTGAATCACTGATCAGTATCACCATAATCCACGGTTAATTTACGACGGATTTAGTTTCAAACTTGGTTGCAGATAAAACTTATGCAACTCAATCAATGCAAAGACAATATTTTTAAGAGTTTTGAGTATATTGATCACCAAAGATTTCACATAAAATGATTTTAAATATATAATATATATATATTATATATATATATAATATATATAATATATATTTATTTAAATAATCCCGATTAACAAAATGACAATTATTATTAGTTTATTACACGTAGATTGAATGCAATCTGAGGTTTTGGAATTTGGCCCCCAAAGTTTTGTCTTTGTTAGGAAAAGAAGGCCCCATGGACACACCCTGTCGTGCCACTTCCCCAACCATTTATTACACCGAAAGCCCATGAAATTTATGTACAACTTCCATGCAGCAACTAGGCATGGCAATGGGCCCCAAAATTCTGGGGCCCCATCCCGACCCGTCCCGTATGGGGCGGGGATTCCCTAGTTTTTTCGAGGATAGGAGCGGGGATGGGAGGAGTTTTAATCCCCATGCCCGAGGGTGGGTTGGGGGTAGGGGTGCCCTTCCCCTGCCCCGCCCCGTCCCACCTCACGTATAATATATAAAATTATATATATACTTTTCACTAATACCCCTATATATTTCACTTAATTACACAATTATCCTATCTATATAAACTCATATTTTCCCAATTTCCCTTAACCTAAACAATTGAACAAGAACAAACCCTAACCCTTAAGTCTTAAACTTGTCACCATTGCCATTCGCCCTTGGCCGACTTCATATTGTCGTTCATCATGTGGACGAATACATAACGAGTCTGTATTTTGGACAAGTGCAATGCTTTATCTTAAGTTTAAACGATTAATTAAAGTGTTTGTCATGTGGATGAATCTAAACATTAAAAGAGAATTAACTATTGTATTTGGTAATGCTCAAATTGATGTTAATGTAAAATTAATGAGGCGGGGCGGCCTCCAACATTCCCCATAGGGCAGGGATGGGGAATTTCTGGCATCCCCACAACAGGGACGGGGTGGGGGTGGGGATTGACGTTGAGGGCCGGGATGGGGACGGTGAATGAGATCCCTGCCCTACCTTATTGCCATGCCTAGCGGCAACTAAGCACTCCTTTCCACACAGTTAGAAAGAGCCTTTTATTTCCTCCTCTAGAGAGCAAATTGTAATTTTTCTTCATTGAATTAGTTAAAGTTTGTAAATATTTTTATAATTAAAAGTAGAGGTAAAAATTGTTAGGGCCAAAAAATGTCCTCGACCCAAGTAGGCCCAAAGATGAAGACACCTTCATCCAAGCTGGAACCTCGGGCCCAACTCCGATGGGGCCCAAATCAGTGTTCTGCAGATGAGGCCCATTCAGTATGCTTTCTTAGCTCCTCATCATTTAGACCTAGGCCTCCTGACTCTAGAACACCTTTTGCGCTTACAAGCAACTCGAATCCCACAGTCGCCTACGAAATACATTCCTACTTGAACTTTGCCAAAGAAGTCAAGTACTATCCTAACTTCTGCAAGGTCCGTATCCGAGGCACATTCGAACTCCCTTTGCTGTTGAGATAAGGGAGCCAAAGGCTACACCTTTTGAGGGGACTACCATCACAAGGACTCCTAGTCCCACCAGGACTCAGAGGCCATACAATCACTATTTAAACAGAGGCCAACTCTCTCGCAAAGGACAAATTCCATTACACCTTCAGACCTCAGAGTTCTCACTTGAGAACTTCGCATTATAGCCGTAGTCATAGTCCCCGACTAGACTTCTGATAACCTTTCTTCTCCCTAGCCCTCACTAAATTAGCCCCATTCAGCCTTGCTGACTTGAGCGTCAGAGTGCCTACGGCAAACACCACCCTGGTGGTTTCTGGCCTTTTACGCTTGTTTCCTTACGTGTGCAGGTGCAGCAGATCACTAATGGCCTCAACCTCACGGGATCAATCCCTCCTTCCGTACAGGCAGATTTCTATGTCTACAGTTTGGCATCCACCGTGGGGCCTCTGGCAGTCGTTCGTTTTACAAACCCTGCTACGTAAAGAAACTCTCAATGGTTGAAAATTCTGACAACACTATCCCCAGCCTCGAGGCCAAACTGGAGGCACTAACCGCCCTCATGCAAACAAGGTGGCCGCATTGGAAGCTGAGAACACTACCATCCGGACTGAAAACGCCTCCATCAGAGCCAAAAACCAGTCTTTGAAAGAGAAGGTAAGTCAGTTTTATGATCTTGAGCTTCTACCTTATCAGGTACAACCCAACCAGTTACGCGGCTCGGTTCCATCTATACAACCTCTCCAAACTCCAGAGCACAGACCCACGACCTCAGATAAGAGGTCACGTCAACTATGTTCGTCATTAGCCAATGATTCAGCCCTGATTCATGGTGAACGGGGTCTGCCAACCAAACCCCTCTCAGTCGATTCACTTTAGGCGCAAGATCAAGGCATCCAAGTGACAGCAAGCCCGCTACAATAAGAACTGCCCATCATCGCCATCCCACCTCACCTTCAGTCAACTGTCCTTACATAAACTCTACTCGACTCGGTTCGGTTCATCCTCGCAGGTTGAGCGGTCACCCACTTCAAACCATCCCAACGAACCAAGCGAGTCCCAAATAACCCTCCTAACCATTCATATAGGGCGAAACACCTAATCAGTTACAATGGGAGTCGCCTAACCAGAGGGGATGAATGGCGATTCAGGCTACCAAACGATACACAAATTAATGATCCACCAGGCTACACCACACGGATTGACCCAACAAAATGCACCAGTGTGAATCCTTTGGCTAACTGAGTCAATCAAGATGACCTAGTGGTATCCGCCTCTCCCATGGAACAGATATTGGCTAAGAGATTGGCCGACGTAGAGGCAGTGGTGAGGCGCATACCAGGAATGCCAATCCCTACCAAAAAGAGCAAGCCTTACTGTTATGTCGATTAGCCCTTCGTGGATGCAATCGCGCTAGCCGACATGCCCCACAAATTCACTATCCCTGGAATGAAGCCCTATGACGGCACAACCGAACCAGATGATCACATAGCCTCGTACAAGCAGCAGATATTCACCGTCTCGATACCCCAAACACTAAGGGAAGGCTGCATGTGTAAGAGCTTTGGTTCAAGACTCTCTGGTCTGGCTCTTCAATGGTACACTAACCTCCCGAACAGTTCAATCAACTCATTCACCGAGCTCATCGACACCTTCGTTGAACAATTCGCCAACAACAAGAAATTTGAGAAACTATTGGTCAACCTATACAGAGTCTACCAAAAAAAGGGGGAGTCACTGAGAAAGTACGTCAGCAGATTCAACAAAGAAAAAATCTTCATCCCCTCCTATAACCCCGAGATAGCCACAGACGCCTTTAGAAAGGGTCTCCTCCCGGATGGTGAACTATACAAAGATCTGACGAACCTTGGTTGCACCACGATGGAAGACGCCTTGGCTAGAGCGGTGATTCAAATAAGGTGGGAGGAAGATGAGATGAATCAAACAAGTCATGCTAGGTATGACCCAAGGCGCAATGATAGAAGGTTAGAGCCCAGATTAATTGAACCCCGTTACCAACCCTCTCCACGCAATCTGAACAAAGTCAGAAAATCGTATGACTGCCAGCCACTTAGAACTGACAACAGACCAACTAGGTCGAGCCGATACAAAGTCCCAGAGTACAACCTCAACGTCGAACCAGCCTAGGTCTTGGCAATCATAAAATGAATGGGACCTACTGTTAAGTGGTCGGGCAAGCTCAATGTCGAAGCAAGAAGGGACATGACCAAGTGGTGCGAGTTCCACAGTGACCATGAACATAACACCGCGGACTGCAGCACCTGTGGTTGGAAGTCGCCATACTACTGAAGAGAAGACATCTCCGAGATTTGTTGACAGATAAAGGGAAGAATACAATCAGCCAGAAAAGCACAAAAGAAACATCTCCACGAGAGCCTACACCAAAAGGATTCTGCTCAATCATCTCAGGAGGTTCGGAGATCAGTGGGGTCAGTTTTTCCTCAGCCAAACGCTACGCTAGAGCCAACAACCACCATGAAATCCAATCCATCCATCTATCCTCTCGATCACACACCCACCAATTAATTCAGTTCGAAGATGACGAGTCAGTCACCCTGGCCGCCCCTTATCACGATGCTCTAGTCATCTCCTTCCAGATCGCCAACATCTTGGTCAAGAGATATTCATCGATGGGGGGTCCTCGGCAAACATTATCTTCCTTGAAGCAGTGAAGGCCATGGGTCTGGAAGAAACAAACATCAATAGACGACCTACCATATTGGTTTGGTTCAGTTTCGAATAGAAATACACCATCGGAGAAATCGTTCTTCATGTTTATGCCAGCGGAGTAAACAAGCAAACCGTTTTTCTAGTGATCGACTGTCCTTCACCATACAACGTCATCTTGAGCCAACCTTGGATCCACGACATGCGAGCTGTTCCATCCATCTTCCACCAAACCATCAAGTTTCCAACAAAATAAGGAGTAAGGGAAATCAAGGGCGATCCTAAGGCTTCTAGAGATTGTTACAAGAATGCTTTCAAAAGCAAAGGTCATGCTTTATAGCAACTACAGTCTCATCCAACCCCTCCGACCGAGCTAGATCAACCATCTATGTAAGAGTTGAATGAAGTGCAGATACACCCGAAAGACCTAGAAAGAAAGACCCATATAGGCTCTCGCCTCGGGCCCGAGACAAGAGAAAAACTAATAGAATTCCTCAAACGAAACCAAGACTGTTTCTACTGGTCCCACACTGACATGACAGGAGTCAGCCTAGAAGCAATCGTCCACCACCTCAAAGTAGATCTAGATCCCCCCCCCCCCCCAAGTGAAGTAGAGGCATAGGAAATTCGCACCAGAGCGCAACCGGATCATCATTGAGGAGATTGATAAGTTACTGAATAACGGTTTGATCAGAGAGGTTCATTACCCCGATTGGCTGACAAACGTTGTGTCGTAAAGAAAAAGAACGGAAAGTGGAGGGTTTGCATTGACTTCATAGATTTAAACAAAGCATGCCCAAAGGACTCCTTCCCGCTCCTACACATCGACATGATGGTCGATGCGACCACAGGCCACGAGCTCCTAAGTTTCATGGATGTCTTCTCAAGGTAAAACCAGATTTTGCTGCACCTCGACGACTAGGAGAAAATAGCTTTCATCACAGAAAGGGAAACCTACTGCTACAAGGTGATGCGTTCGGTCTCAAGAACATTGGGGCTACCTATTAGCGGTTGGTTAACAAAATGTTTACCAAACACCTCGGAGACACCATGGAGGTTTACATCGACGACATGCTTGTTAAGTCCCTGATGGCGGAGCACCACCTCAGCCAGGCGTTCGTAGTCCTAAGAAAGTATAACATGAAGCTGAATCCAGCCAAATGCTCGTTTGGTGTCTCGTTAGGTAAATTCTTAAGGTACATGGTAACTCAACGACGGATAGAAGTCAACACTGACCAAATCAGAGCGATCCTTAATATATCATCACCAACTTGCATCAAAGACGTCCAGCGCCTCGCAAGATGAGTAGCCACCTTGAGCCGCTTCATCTCTAGATCCGCTGACAAGTGCCACCACTTTTTCCACACATTCAAGAAATCTAAGAAGTTCGAGTGGACCCCTCCCTGCAAGGAAGCCTTGCAACAATTGAAGAGATACCTAACCTCCCCTCCGCTCCTTTCCAAGCCTGTAGATGGAGAGAATCTTTACGCATATCTGGCGGTCTCAGAGATAGCAATCTCAGTAGTGTTAGTTCGGGAAGATAATATGAAGCAGCTACCGGTGTAAGTAAGTCACTCCTCAACGCGGAAACATAATACAGTCAACTGGAGAAACCAGCCCTTGCCCTTGTCCTCGTCCTTGTCCATGCATCCAGGAAGCTCAAGTCATACTTTCAATGTCACTCCATAGTCGTACTCACCTCTTTTCCACTCAAGAAGATACTACATAAGCCAGAGTTATCAGGCCGACTCACACAATGGACGGTAGAGCTTAGTGAGTTTGACATATCTTTCCAGCCACGTACAGCCATCAAGTCCCAAGCACTGGCATACTTTATTGTTGATTTCACCCCGAACACCACCGTCCAAGCAGAAAAAGAGTTATTATGTATGAATAATGGGTCGCCTTCAAACTGGACTCTATCAGTGGATGGCTCAAGTAATGTGAATGGAAGTAGACTCGGGTTAGTACTAACTACACCAGAGGGAGATGTCATCCAGCGGGCCATATGATGTGGATTCAAGTGCACCAACAACGAAGCTGAATACGAGGCTTTCATCGTTGGACTCTCCCTAGCCAAAGAAATTGGAGAAAAAAGGCTAGAGGTAAAGTCTGACTCCCAACTTGTGGTAAACCAGCTACAAGGCACTTACCAAGCACGCGTCTAAAAAATGATGGCTTACTTGAACCTGGTCAAAAAATTGCAGACCGAATTCGAAGAATTCTCCATCGCCCAAGTCCCAAGAGCGGAGAACACTCATGCTGACGCCCTTGCAAACCTCGGCTCAGCCCTTCAATGTTCTTCTCAGTCATCCATCCCTCTGTTATTCCTACAATGGCCAGCCAACTGGAAGGAACAACCAACAAACAAGTCCCCGAGGAAGCAATGGACATCGAACTGGCAGACTCTTAGATGACCCCGATAGTGAAGTACTTGGAACACAATGAGCTCCCAGCCGACAAGAACGAAGCACATTGTCTGAGAGCGAGAGCCGCCAGGTTCACCATATATGAGGGCCAACTCCTTAGGAAGTCATTCTCTGGTCCCTACCTCAAAGGCTTAAGCCCAGAAGAGGCCAAACAGGTTCTCACCAAATTGCATAAAGGCGAATGTGGAAACCATGTAAAAGGACGCAGCCTCGCACACTGGGTGATCACCGCTGGATACTATTGGCCAACCATACGCACTAATTCAGCAGCTTATGTGAAGAAATGTGACAGTTGTCAGAGGTTCACCCATGTCTCACACCTCCCATCCGAGTGACTCCACTCCACTTCACTCTCACACCTTGGCTATTCATGAAGCAGAGAATGGATATACTAGGAAAGCTACCGACAGCACTCGGGCAACGAGTCTTCATTCTGGCTGTGACTAGTTACTTTACTAAGTAGATCGAAGCCGAAGCATTCGCACAAGTCATAGACCGAGAGATAAAAGTTTTCATCTGGAAACATGTCATTTGCAGGTTTGGGATACCGAAGGAAATTATTATCGACAATGGATTCCAATTTATCAGCTCATGCTTCGGGGATTTCTGCGACATGTGGGGGATCAAGTTAAGCTTCTCTACCCCCCGCAACCCCCAGTCCAACGACCAAGCCGAGTCATCGAATAAAACCATCATGCAGACTTTAAAAAAGTGCCTGCTGAAAGCCAAGGGTGCATGGGCAGATGAACTACTTGGAGTCCTTTGGTCCTACCAAACTACAACTCGTTCATCAACTGGCGAAACTATTTTCTCCTTCACATACGGATCTGAAGCAGTCATCCCAGCCGAAGTATCAGTTCCTTCCACCAAACTCCAATGGGCAGACGAGAAAATCAACAACCAGAACCTTTGCCAGAACCTGGACACCGTCGATGAGCTATGCGAGTGGGCAAACATCCGCAACACAATCTATCAATAGCAGGCCACCTGACACTACAACCGCAATGTCAAGATCAGAACTTTCAAAACAGGTGACTGGATCCTCCACAAAGTCTTTCAAAACACTAAGGAGATCAACTCTGGCAAGCTCGGCCCCACCTAGGAGGGTCCCTACAAGATCACCAAAGAAGCAAGGAAAGGCGCCTACTGACTCCAAACTCCCAAAGACAAAGACATCAACAATAGTTGCAATGCAATCCATCTCAAACGCTACTACTTTAGGTGAACTCATTCATCTACATATTTGTTTTCTTTTTGTTTTTATTTAAAAAAAGGATGAGTGGGCCTATCCACCTCCTTCAAAAACAGTAGCCCTCATGGCACGAATTCAATGAAGCATTATTCAGCAAATTATAGCATCGATCGGCCCAGGCTGATTTATGAGTTTACACCTTCAATCGGCCAAGTCCAATTCACGAGTTTACACCTTCGATCAGCCCAACCCAATTCATGAGTTTACACCTTCGATCAGCCCAGCCCAATTCATGAGTTTACACCTTCAATCGGCCCAGCCCAATTAATCAGTTTACACCTTCGATCGACCCAGCCCGATTCATGAGCTTACACCTTCGATCGGCCTAGACCAATTTATAGATTTACACATTCAGTCGGCCCAGACTGATTGAAGGGGATTTGCACCTCAAAAGAGACAAGTCATCGACCCAACCCAATAGAAAGTCCACATGACTCAGCCACTTGGCCGCGTCAAAGTCATAACACAAGCATGTAGTTTAACCCCTAGTGCATCTACAAACAAACAAGTAATCAACTCATTCATCCACAAGGGAAGCACCAAAAACAGGATCACAAGTATAATATAAGAAGAGCCTCAAGCGGCTAAGTTCTGAGTACAAAGTAAGACGCACATGCTAGGGAAGGGCATCACAGGCCCCAAAAATACATGAGCCAAAAAAAAAAAAAAGCTGAGTCTCATCGGTGCGAGTCATCTCACCCATCTCCGACTCGATCACCTTATCACCAGCCCCAGCACTCGCCCCTACAGCTTGGTCGCTCACATCCTTCGTAATTGAT